ACATTCACCCATTCACACTCACATTCACACACTGATGATGGCAAACTACACTGTAGGCACAGCTGCCCTGGGGCGCACTGACAGAGGCGAGGCTGCCATGCATCGGCGCCACCGGACCCTCTGACCACCATCAGTAGGCAAGGTGGGTGAAGTGTCTTGCCCAAGGACGCAATGACTGAGACGGCTGGACGGGGGATCGAACCAGCGACCTTCCGGTTCCAGGACAACTCCCCAAACCACTCCGCCACAGCCACCCCGGGATATATGTTCATGTTTTTTAGTTCCTGTTAAAAGACGAGCTGCTGCGTTCTGGACAACTTGTAATGAATGCAGAGAAGATTTATCTAAACCAATAAACAAAGAATTACAATAATCCAAACAAGATGTAATGACAGCATGAATCACTTTCTCAAGGTCTTTGTTTGGGAGGTATGGCTTCACCTTAGCAATAAGTCTTAGCTAGAAAAAACTCGATTTAACCACTGAGTTTATATTTGTCCAATTTGAACACTATCAAAAATGAAACCCAAATTTCTGACAGCAGAGCAGCTGTATGAAGCCAAAGGACCAAGACTGTCAGGAGAAATGTTTTTACCAAAGCTGAGGACTTCTGTCTTACTTTCATTTAGATTCAGGAAATTCAATTTCAGCCGGATTTTTATGTCATTCCGACAGCTCAGGAGTGATTTGAATGAATTAATCAAACCTGGCTTGMTAGGCAGGTAGACCTGAATGTCGTCAGGAAAACAATGGAAAGGAATCTTATATTTATTAAAAATGGACCCCAGAGGCAACATATAAAGATTAAAAAGCAAAGGACCTAGAATAGCGCCTTGCGGGACCCCACAAATCAGAAGCTGTAGAGGAGGAGCAATCTCCTAAATGAACAGAAATTAGTATTTCTGTATTTAGTATTTAGAAGTTTGTATTTCTTCTAACAGTAATGGTAAGAATGTTTGTATAATTAGGACTCCTTTTTGTACACAAGTTTTTCTTTTTCATGGTATTTAAATGGGGCACATTTAAAAGCATCATATGTCTACTTTAAAGAAAAAAAGAAATAATTTGGTGTCCACCTAGAAAACCCCAAAAGCGGAACCTGATTTGGTCTGAAGCCACTCTGTTTCTYCTCTCCCTCGCCCCAGCGACGGACCGAGGTCGCGATAAAAACGGGAAGATGAGACCAAAGAGCGAAGGCTTCGAGCTGTACAACAACACGGTGCAGAACGGCTCACCGGACAGCCCGCAGCCTGGCTGGGACTCTTACCCCGAACCAAAGAAGATGAGCGGAGAAGACCGGCTCCTGAAGAACCGGGCCGACCACCGCTCCAGCCCCAATGTAGCCAGTAAGTCCTTTAGTTTTATTCTGATTCACAACGGTGGGCAGCACTGATCCAAAGATTAGCTCCGCAATTTCTAAAATGCTTTTTGCCATAGAAAAACTAGCGGAAGCTAATTTTAAAGCACAAGTTCAATTTGACACTTACTAGCTGGCAACAATTCATGTACAATATATGYACAACACTGCCAACTAGTGGTGTATGAACTCTTTTACAGCTTAATCCTACAACTGCCGATTGCTGGGGATGTGATTTCCTGAAACAGACCTTTAGCTCCTGGTGTAAAAATTAAAAAGTTGTTGAGGATTGCTAGTTTGGCTGCTTCTTTGTCTTTTTCTTTTGTTTGTTGTAGGTTTTTCATTAAAGAAGCATCAATAAAGTAATTTTAAAACTGTTTATTGGAAAACTGAAGCGATGCATTCTGGGTACATGACGGATTTGATTTGTGACGGGAAACGAAAGCACGGAGTACAGGAAACTGTCTTCCCTTCAAAATAAGAGCTTGGATTTTAAAGTTTTCCATGTAGTTGCTCTAGTTGACCACTAGATGTCAGTCTTCATCAACATAACATCTTTAAATCTTTTCTGAGTCTCTAACCCGTTGCTTCGACCAATTACATCAAGTATTGAGCTCCAGCGTTTAAACTTTATTTTTTTTTTAAAAAAGGAGCTCCAATTGTAAAGTAAAATAAATCAGTACATACAAAATTTTAGCATGGATTACAAACATTAAACGTTTTCGCCCAGTCACATAGTTCTAACCATTGCCTTCCTGCTACGTAAGCAGACACAAAGCATTGTTTGAAATCAGAACCGTGACCCAAAGCAACAGTCAGCAGGATGTATACCTTCACATTAAGAGTGTTTATCTGGGAGGGGTGCTTTTGGATAGATCACATGTTGTGATTCATTGACAGTCATACCTTCTGCTGTTCAACATAATGATGACTGGTAGATAATTAGTTATATTAGTGGTACTGCATTTTAATTTTAGAAAGCGCAAATCTGCTTATGAATTATAAAAATTAGTAGGACCACTAAAGCGCAAACAAAATATTTAGGTCCACAATTAGCGGATTTGCGCTTTATCGGGCTGGTGCCCACCACTGATAATTCATTAATATTAAAGGATAAAACTACTTCAACACAACTAGAAACGGGTGAAGTTTACTGGTGTTGTTGGACTAACACGGCCTTTCCTTCTCTTCTATCAGATCAGGGCCAGAGTGCTGCGAGTAAATCTGTGTACCCCGGAGGACCTGGCACTAAGATCACCTCCGTCTCTACAGGCAACCTTTGTGCCGACGTAAGTGACTGCAGGATTGTAGCGTCCTGATGTGGAATGTTTCAGCAGAGCAGATAACACCAGAGTGACAGTCCAACAGGACTGAGGAATAACTTCTCACATGGAGAAAACAACGCCCTGACTTTAGACTTCTGGGAAAATGTTCTAATATACAGTATATATATTTTATTACCRATCAACCTTTTTTATTTGTAAATCCCTCAGGATGAACCCTCTCCTCCTCGTCCAGAGGCCTACCCCATCCCCACCCAGACCTACTCCAGGGAGTACTTCACCATCCCGGTCTCCAAGAGCCAGGATCGGGTGGTGGGTCCTGGACAGGCACCCTCACAGCACTGGCAAGGCATGGAGGACCGAGAATGCCTCCCTTTGGTTGACAACATCCACAACAACAGCCTGCAGGTACAAAACAGACCCTGAGCCTCATTACAAGCAGCTTCTTTTTGAAAAGGTTTGGAAAATGTTTAAAACTTCCTCTTTGTAGCGAATCAATCACTCCCAGGAGGAGCTGTACCCCCCACCTGTGAGACCCGACGAGCGCATGCAAACACATTACCCACAGGAGTACCAGCACCGGGATCTGGACTACCAACACCGAGGTCCACCAGGAGGTAAAAACTGACCTCAGATCAGACGGGGAAAAAAAGTCTACAGCTTTTGGTGGCGCATTAACAACCAGATTATACAGCAGCTTATGTTCCTCTGAAATCTCATCTAATTTAGAATCTTTTTATGATTATTTATAATAAATAACACAAATATCAGAGCAGTAGCTGCGTTTCCATTGACCATGAAAATGCGCAAATTAGAATTTCGAAAATAAATTTGCTCAATGGAAACACGTCAGTTTCGAAAAAAA